GCTTAGTGCTGCAATTTAATACCAAGTCACTGTTAATCAGGTGAGCAACTGTCAGTCTGAATGAAGCTTTATTTTAGATGGACAGTTTGGATTTAATGTGTCTGTGTGTTGAGATATCATTCAAGGAAGAAAAGAAGAGGATTGTACAGAAGGGTCATGAGATAAATGAGTTGGAGAAACCAGACTAATGTCGGCAAAGCAGACAGCTAAATTAAAATGTTTCAGAGAGAAACGAGAGGAGCTGCAAAAGCAGCAAATTCAAYAACTTGTACATAAAAGTGCAAAAGCAAAGGGATGAGCAAAGTGTGGTGACGTGAGGGGAAAACACAAGAAATGTAGAAGTGAGGACATCTGGAAGCAACAAAAACTGACAGAAAACTATTAAACAAAGGCAACAAAAAGTGTTTCAAGTTGTTTTTCTCTCATTTATCTTTGTTCGTCCAAAAGGTGGTAAATTTCAGCACTTGTTCCCTGCAGCTCTCTAACACTTTCTGCTCTATCAGCTCTGTGCAGACGCTCTGATAGCTTTTAGTTGAKGCGTCGAATGCAGCTGATCAAATTTATCTTAAACAAGAAAAAACATTTGTTTTTCACGAAACATTTTCACTTCCTAAAGATGCAAAAATCTCTCTCAAATGAAATACTTGTATGAAAAACAATGTTTTAATTTCGATTTTATGTTTCAGGTAAACTCCCCTGCTACCTTGGCTCAGAACGACCCACAAGGCCTCAGTTATAAAACAGGCCAACTTGGCCCAAAGTCAACAGGAGGGTTATAAAAGTCTGTTTGGAAGGAGGAAGAGTGAATCGCCACTAAAGAAGTTCACAAAAATATAATATGTCAAATAAGTTTTCATATCTTCCATAACAAATGTCAAAACTGATATGAGATAAAGAAACAGAAAACAGAACCATTTGACAGCATCAACATGTGAAAAATAGAAAAAGATAATTTATTTTAATGCAGTGCAAACAAGTAGCACAAAAACTGACACAGCTTACTTTATTTTTGTTGCATGTGGCAGAGCATTTATAAATACACAGTAACACATTTCCACAGTTTGAAACAGATGCACACTGGACATTTCCACTATCAAGATATTTTTGTGTCGCCTCCCCTTTAAAGATCTGCCAAGTTTTAATAGGATGTAACAGACTGTAAAACATGACAAGCTTCATTTACTGAAGAAACCTTAGTAAGAAAAGATGGAGAAGTTTTGGGCTAAACTGAAAGGTCTGCAGGAAAAACTTGAACCTGTATTGGCCTTTCTGATGCAGGAAGGAGTTCAGCTGGATCCAGACATCTTCTCCTGTTCCATCTGTTTGGATCTGCTGAAGGATCCTGTGACCACTTCCTGTGGCCACAGCTACTGTATGAAGTGTGTTCAAAACTTCTGGGATGAAGAGGATCAGAGAGGAATCCACAGCTGCCCTCAGTGCAGAGAGACATTCGTACCGAGGCCTGCCCTGAAGAAAAACACCATGTTAGCAGCTTTAGTGGAGCAGCTGAAGAAGACTGGACTCCAAGCTGCTCCTGCTGATCTCTGCTATGCTGGACCTGAAGATGTGTCCTGTGATGTCAAACCTGTATGTATTATTATCAGAGGAGAACAGGGAAGTGATTTTTTTGCTACATCAGTGTTATCCTTGTCACCCGGACAGATGTGCAGCCAGAGGTCAGATCCTGAGCAGAGAGAGTCTGACTGATCGTTGTTACTGGGAGGTGGAGAAAGGTTTTGGAGGAGTTGCAGTGGTTGTTGCCTACAAAGATAAAAACACACTTAAGGAAAAATTTGGAGAAAGTAACAAGTCCTGGGCATTGTGTGTTTTCAAACGTCATCAAATTCATACAACAAAACATCACAACTCAGGTTTCAAGCTCTCGTTGCTCCAGGATCGGGGTGTACCTGGACCACAGAGCAGGTGTTCTGTCCTTCTACAGAGTCTCTGAAACCATGACCCTCCTCCACAGAGTCCAGACCACCTTCACTCAGCCGCTCCACGCTGGGATTACACTATATAATCCCATGGGAAACTCTGCTAGGATTATTAATGATAAGTAGCTGATCTACTCAACAAAATAATGTGTGAAACCATGTTTTTAATATTTGGGTTGTTTAGTAATTTATATGTTTATTCTGGGTTTTATTTAACACAATTTCTTCTAATTATATGCCTGAAATACTATATCCACTAGAGGGCGCTGTTTTATCATAAATGGCTCTACCAAATTCTCACACCCTTTATGTTGACTTTTTTTCCAGAAAGTAAATAAGTAATAATACTTACTTACTTACTTACTTACTTAACTTACTAACTTACTTACTTACTTACTTACTTACTTACTTACTTACTTACTTACTTACTTACTTACTTACTTACTTACTTAAATAAGAGCAAATTTA